CAAACAATCATCTGACCCATAGGTGGCAGCCATCTCAAGCCAGAGGACGAGAGGACTCTAGCCGTCACGCATATAAAGGATTTAGCGTGAAAAACTTTGTTTTTTTCGGGTTAATTTTTTAAATCCCTGCCAGGGCAACTCAGCCGTATTCACTGGGCACACTGATACAGCTGGGTATAAATTTACTCATGGAATACTGTCATTACAGGTTACAATTGCAATGCTGTCATGATAACAATCACAGCTACAGTGGGAACGCGTGTGTCTGCAATGGATTGTTCAGGGCAAAGACATGCACTTAATTATTTAAGGCCACATTGTTTTACAACTGACAATCAATTCGATGGGTTCAGGTGAAACTGCAACCGTTGACAGTTAAAATATGATGTGGTTTAGATGTAATTTGTTACGAAAATTGTGGAACGTGGCCTATGGCTGTTGAGGTGAAACTAAGAGAGAAATTTAAATGGCTGTGTGACCGAAATTTGTATTTTCCTCCGATGGTTTAAACTAAAAGACAATGGCACGAAAGACTGAATGTCGTATTCCGTATATGTTACGAGATAAGCTTAGATTATTCTCCAGTGCAAAGTGCACGTTAAAATAGCCATAAAAAGGAGCATAATCCTGTGGGTCACCTTTAATTATAAGTGAAATGCATCGGAATAGCACGTGGTTTTTGGCCCACTACATTGAAGTTAGATATCCAGAAGGTGCAACTCAATGGATTTACCGTTTATGAACACACTAATAAAGGGTAGAGCACAAACCGTCATGCCAACTCTGATAATCTTCGCAGCGGCTTTTGGTGAACCATCGAACAAAGGCGGTCACTGCAACATGCGGTTTTAGATGCGCTTCTGCGGCCGTCTGGAACGCTCTTCCGACATTAGAACACCAATGGAGCTACTTTTTGTGTTTAGTTTTGTATGTTGTCCTTCTCCCGTACTTTCTAAAAGCACGGTTGGCTACGTGTAGTGCGAAAGACGTTCAACTTACAGCGTTTGCAATGACTCATTTTGCGTTATTTTGGTGATTTCGAAAAGTTTTTTGTTTTGGCCATGTTTGTTTGTTGTAGAGCAAAGTTAGACTGATGGCCTTAATCTAAGTTGTCTTGTGGTTATTGTTGTTTGACTTGCATCCCACTGGGATTTTTGCACACAGCATTGGTGTACGGTGCTTTTTCTGCAGTATTTTGCCGTCTTTTCTTGAATTTTCTGTTTGCACTTAGTCACATAGTCACTTTAAGATGTTTTCTTGTTCATGTTTTTGTTTTTTGTTTGTTGCGATTGCACCCGAATCAAGAGCCGAATGGCTCACAGGGCTATACCTAAGAAATGAACTTGAACTTGCGTTAAAAAGGTCCCGTTTCTTCAAGTTGAAAGGATTTGTAGCGTAAATAACGGCAAAGGTGGCGCCTGCAATTGCTTCCTCGTGGCATCACTGGTGGAAGCAAGGGCCTCCACGAGCGGCAGCTCTGAATGCTTAAAACATTTTAACTTTCATGATAAGGGACCATATTCAAATGTATCTTAAGCCTGAGTATTAAAGGACAGTATGGCTTTATGCATAGAGGATGACTCTCAGGTGGGACCAGCCTTTATCAAGCAAGAGAAAGAATACTGGAAAGAAAGATAATTTAATCATAGAGCCTTCCTTAGTTTTCTCTGGTTGCTCTCACAGTCACCAGAGATGAGATGCTTTTAGACAACCATAGAAAAGTCACTTGGAAAGTACATTTCCTGTTCTGAGGAAATAACCCATGCATTGCAGGGATGCAGGGTAGCGTTAAATGGTTTTCTTTCATTTTAAAGTCACCTGCAGTTAAGCTCTAATTTTTCCATCTGAGTTTAAAGCTGCGCTGGCAGATAAATGCACACACAGACACACATTACTATCTGCAGCTAATCAGATTCAAAGTCTAGTGAAACACTGGTCATAACCTAAACAGTCCATGTTCTTATATAACATGTTAATCTATAACATGTTAATCTATAACAGTATTCAAAATAACACATTTCAATATCCGCTGAATAGCTCTTTTATGAAAATCGTGGTATAACGTAAAGAATTAACCAAATGTATCCGATTCATGATACAGAAAAGTTAGCTAATATACACATTAGGGCTGTAACTATGCATTACTTTGGCTGAAATATATTTTTATTCTCACAATACATGCATCGAATTGTGCACGTGGATATTGATTATGTTCAATTCCTACAATCCCTGCAGCCACTAGGCGATAGGTTCACCACAAGGTCAAAGTGATGTTTCATTGAATAATGAACCTGAATTGAGACAATTCATCCAAAAAAACAAAGATGATCCATCATTCCCAGTGAATGCCATTATGCTGTCTTTCCGCACACAAGCGACATTAAGTTTAACATAGATGCTACTGGCCATCGTTTTTCATATACGTTTTCTCAGCAAAAAAAACAATATCGTGTACAAACACACACTGCCTCGTTAGTCATTGATTCTGACATATTATATGTGACCGTATACCATGCATACATTAGTGGTGGAGATTTCCACGGATGGCCAAAACTAAAGATGGAACCAGTGCCCTAAAAACATTAGCTAAGGGGTACCGAATACGTGCTGGGTGTGGCATGGCAGACAGTTCGTTTCTGGAAAAAAAATCTACGTAGCTGTTGGCCTTTCCTCGTTTAAAAAAATACTTTTAAACAGTTTTCATCTCAATGTAGGTCCCTCAACAAATAAAAACAACAGTCTAGTTTCAGTGAGGCTTTCATGGAGAAATAAATGACACATTATTATTCAGTATATTATGACAATGAGGCAGGAACTGCCATGCACATGCAAACATGTACGGGTCGGATAAAATTCACTCGATACCGATGTATGAATGTAAAAAAAAACATGACAAAGCTGCCATACCCAGATGTGCTTGCATAGCGCTAATGTGACGGACATCACTCACTCTAGCATCGCCACTAAAGAAGGGCAAATCGGGCATCCACTGGCAGCTGTGCTTGGACATTGTCCACGGGCTTTCTTAAAAAATGGGATCGCTGCAGATACCACGATGTCTTGAAGGTGCACTCTAGAAAATCCACGAGCCACTTATTTATGCTTTCATACACACGCACACATCTTGGGCTCATGTTCCAATAGACTCCTCTCAATAACACCATATGCTGATGCTGAATGTCGATACATAAGTCACGAGGACTGCTGATGGAAAATGATCAGTGGTTGTGGCCAGAGACATAAGGGATGGTGGGGGGAAACAGCCACACTGGCATCATCCTTTTCAATTCCACGCTCCCTTTGGAGACATGTGTGTTGAGACAGATAGTCTCGTTCATACAGATGACTTACACACACAACACGTGCACACGTAAAAACACGTGTGCACACATCATAACGCAGGGACAAGTTCTGTTCGTGAGCACCAATACAGATACAATGGAAAATGTAGACTTGTGATGCTAAATCCTACTATAAGGCTATGTACGATGGTTAAAACACAATGGAAATCACTCGTTCATTACGAATGTTGTGAAGAGTGCTGTCAATTTCTTTGTTAGGGGCATGTAAACTTGCATCCAAGCGAGCCGATATTTTGACATGCGACTTTGCTTGTACATGTGTACACAATATATTTATGTCGTTGCTAAGATGCCGATAATACGAATCTCATTTGCACAAAAATGCAGGGAAATTTCTGGAGAATGATTTAAGCACTTTTAATTGTTGGCAGAGGTTTACAATGGACAATAGGTCTTGACAATGATAGATTGCTGATAGATAAAATTTGACATTATTGATGACATGTGATTAATGTTCAAGAAGGATTTGTGACAATCTGCTTTGTAAATGATGTCAGGAGAACGATAGATGTTTCCGATAATGTATAGAGCTTATCATCATTTATACATATACTGCATCATGGCGACATCAATGCTCAAAGTAATATTATTCCACAGCGTCTTTAAAGGACGCAATAATGACATCGCCGAGTCTTCCCACACCGTGGAGCTGTAGGTTAAAGGGTCACAAAGGGAAGGGCAGGAAAGAGCCCTTTGTAGGAGTTTCAAGCAGCACGCATGAATAAATGTCAGCGCTTCTCCACACACCTTGTCAACATTTAGCGGCGCTGCATGGCTGGATTTTTTAATATGAATTTTAACATTTGGAGAGCACAGGGAGATCACACGAGCAGCAGAGGAAGGGCCTGCATCATCTCCAGGAATGCTTGGCCTATAAAGTAATTTGTGTTGGAGCTTGGCAGGGTGGCGCTCTGTTATGTGCTTGTGTGTTTGAGGACAGCAAAAACAAAATCAACAAGAAAAACGGCGGGTTCACCCCACGGCATTTATCAAGCATCATGACCGGCTTCCGTTGAAGGTTCAGATTTTGTATAAGATCCTTATCTTTTTCCCCCCACCACATAGGAGTTCGTGCAATACAGTACTGTAGTACTTGCTGTACTTGGGAGTTATTTTTCAGTTTGAGTCTGAACGTGTTTAAACACTGGACTTAACACAGGTAAAAAAAAGCAGTCAATTTAATGTGACTCGCTTTTTTAATTTACGGACATGTGAAACATGATCATTATAATGTCATATAAATTATTAAGTCCAAATTACATGCTCAAGTATATGTACAGAGACATGTCAACATGTAATGTGTGCACGAGTGACGCGGAATAACACTTGTGCCTTGGATCACACGCACAGTTGCTCATTCATCGGCGCTGCAAAATATTTAATTACGAAACATCCATCAAGAAGGATGACTTCGCAGACGACTAGGTTACCATAAGGGCTTTCCATCGACTGCACTAATAACAGCAGATGGCTCCTGTCAGTCGTAGATCATTGCAGGGGCAACAACAATGAATCTGTCCCCATTTTGCCCATCGGGGGTGTTGAGTCTGGCGGGTGGTTTCTGCGTGGGGCAGCAACAACGGCGCACACGTGGAGCAAAATCAGTCAGCACATGTTTGCATACTTGCAAGGCCCTACCTCAAGTGCTGACCAATTAGATGGCAGTTCACAGAGCCTGCTCCGTTGCACCTGCGTGTTGGAACGACAACAGCACAACAGCAAACACGGTTGGCCTCGCGGCGGTCACAAGCCAGGCGACGGGGTAAACCCCACATCAGCAGCGATTTCCCCGACAAAAGGCTACACACTGGAAATGCAGAAGACCTCAATGCGCACCAACATGGAGAGCCAAGCCACAACATTTACAATCTGAGTACGATGTTTCGCCAGTAATTACAACCAGCTTCATCAGGCGACAGCCAGATGTGTGGAGAAGTCCATCTGTTTCGTTCCTTATATAGAGGCGTAGATGTGGTGACCACACTTCTGCGCTCTGGACTTCTCCACAAATCTGGCTGTCACCTGATGAAGCTGGTTGTAATTACTGGCGAAACGTCGTACCCAGATTGTAAATGTTGTGGCTTGGCTCTCCAACACACCAGTGTGCTGTACAAGTGACGAATTGGCCACGTTCTCTTTACGTGGCAACCCTTACTAGTTGGCTGTGTTGGGTGGTGATGAGTTTTAACGACACATTCATACATTTCCCCGATCTAACCCAAAAAAACTGTATTATGGATGACATTGGTCGCGAAAGCCTCCTACGTGTTAAGATTCATCCTTATCATTATTATTAACGACAATAAGCCACGTCAGTTCAGTTGGAAGGGCGGTAAGCCTCCGTTAGTAAAATGTATGAGCTGGACTTTTAGTCACGTTCTAATCAGCCCAGAGGTCGCAATCGGGTACCCGATACCCGTACCCTACCCGATACCCGGCTACCCGTACCCAGCCGGGTACGGGTAGCCGGGTACGGGTACGGGTAGGCCGTGAGTCACTGGTGAGTCACCGTATGTCACTCATTTCCCAACGTCTTGTCTCTTCTCACAATTCAAGTTCCTAGAATCAACCCACCCGCGCCTGCAACATGACTTCATCCCAGAGGTCGCAATCGGGTACCCGTACCCGTACCCTACCCGATACCCGGCTGGATACGGGAAGCCGGGTATCGGGTAGGGTACGGGTACCTAATTGCGACCCTGGTGTGGCCTGGTACGGGTACGGGTAAGGAATCAAAACCTGTTTGCGACCTCTGAATCAGCCCCATCGTCCTTCCAGTGTGAGTAGAGTCAGTATCACCTGGAGCGTGCCACTTTGTGGGACGGAGGTCAATTATGGTTGTGTTCGATTTTTCAACCCCAGCACAGGACCAACAGCGGTAATGGGCATAGTAAAATGCTCTTAAGAGCATGCCACTTGTGATATTTTAATATCATGAAATGCTTTTTGTGCTTTGCTGAGACTAATCCCTGAAGACACAGGAATTTAATGAAAACTGTTGGGTAGGGCATTTTTTCAAAGTCGATTGAAGAGAACATCTTTATACAATTTCAAAAAGGGCCATTGACTCTATTATCTACATATAAAATATATTAAATCATTGAACTTTTCAAAACATATAAACAAAATATCCATTAATGAAAGCAAGAATAAGCCATGGCATTGCTACGAATATTTCAGGAGAAAAACAACACGTTTCTTCTAAAATAATTACAATAAACATAGCACTGGCTATTCTATCAGGGGACAATAAAAATAACCGTTAGATGACAACCTTGAGCATGCTACAAGATTAAGTCACGATAAAAATACCTCCTCACACTCTACCTCTAGCACTTTGATTATCAGTAGAAATATCTAAAAAGCTGTTTAAACATCGCACTTATGCCATTCAAATTATTTTCCTGTTTGGTCACAGATGGTATGCCAAAACCCAATGTCCCAGCCATGGATATTAACCGACAAAGGAGTAGAATTATGATCGAGGATTTGCAACAGTCACATATAACGTCCTCTTGAAAGAGGGCGCCCTCAAAACCCTTAACCCTCAGCTCCACAACAGCATCAGGGCGGTGTTTGTTGATGGCACAAACCGTGGGCGGTGTGTGGAAGTGAATGACACGTCAAAAACTCTTGGGCGAGCCAGTATCTAGGGTCTGCTCTCTCTTAATCACTCACACCGAGCAAAGATCAGGGCTGCGTGTCGCCACAACCTGTGACGGTGTGCGCACGTGGACGCTTAGGGCCGAAGGCCTCTCATGTGTGACGAGCCAAGGGGAGCCCCCTGCATAACCAGCTGCAGCTTGTCTCTATGCACCAGCCAGTTGTCTTTCCTTCACACTCGTCCACGATGCCACTCAGGCCCTTCAACCCAGAGCATACTTCAAATAAGAAATACCTCGCTGCCAATCACACCAAAGGACGTCGTCACCCACCATGCATGTTCACGTATTGGTTCACGTCTCCCAAGCACCCATCGGCGTACCTCCGTACAGCCACCCTTCACCATGCGAGAGAACTTTTACAATGCAGGCGCTTCGTGATGCTCACCACATTCGGAGCACGCCCAAAGCCGTACACCCCAAGAAGATCAGTGGGTCACATTCACGACTCACTGACACCCAACGCAGCACACTCACCAACCACCAGTGCAACCGCGATGCTCTAGCCACGCTTCCTCCTAGCAATCTCTGTGTAGCTGGGAATGCCAATGCAGGGACTTGTAAGTATGTGGGCCGTGCCCTTCTGCACCCACAACTCTCTTGCCTCGCCTTTGCCCCTGCAAATACAGCGTGATACCTCTTAGGCGCTCCTTCTGCTCACACACGCGAGCTCAAACTTCTCACAGTAAGGGTGAAGTTTCACTTACAGCCTTAAGAGACTCGTCCTCGCCTGAGTGCCAATGTCTGCCTCCTGCTCGTTGCTTCTCCTGTTCACCTGATGCCCTCCTGGAACACTGCTGGTAGACTACACTGCTGGTAGGCTGTGCTGTTGGTAGGCTGTGCTGCTGGTACGCTGTACTGCTGGTATGCTGTAATGCTGGTATACTACACTGCTGGTATGCTGTGCTGCTGGTAGGATACACTGCTGGTATTGGTATGTTGTGCTGCCGAGTTCCAGATGCTGCCACCTCTCCGGTCTAAAGCTGTCTCTCAACTGAGCCGAGTTGGAACTTTGATACTTCCCAGCCAGTTACACTGTGACCTCATTGGCTGATTCTGCTCACCTGTGGAGAGCCAATTCCAGCAACTCCTCAATCTACGTTTGGGATGCATCCCTGGACAACGCGGCGTTCGGAAAAAAAACCCAACAATAAATCTTAACCTATTTTACCATTGACTTCACGATATAAATTTGGTATAATAAGTACCAAAAATATAAAATATGACGCGGCTTCTGAGCGGCCGATGTCAAACTACTTTCTCGAGCAGCGCGGCTGAGCGGTATGAGGATTCTGGGTGTACGTGTGCAATTATACAGGACGCGGTGTAGCCTCACCTCAGTTTTTTCCCCACAATCTCACTGTGTGTATGTGTGTACATCGTATCTAGCAACCCCCACCCTTCACATTCATTCTCTTGAGGAAATTGTTTTCGCTTCACGTGGAGTTTTTTTTACGAGGAATTACCGCGCTGCATTCTTTTCCTTAATGTTTTCAAAACAATGTTGTAGCGAATCAATGCATTTTAAGTCGAGCTGTGTTCCCCAATTCGTTGGCGATGTTATAGCGAAATAACGCGAATAGTCGCACCGTAAATAGAGGACATCCCGTACCACCATTCTTTTCTGCGAGGATTGTTTTTTTTTGCATGCGCAATTAATCAGACCATATTGGTACTTCAGCCACCGAGTGGCCAATAATTATCTTGGAGATAAAGTGGTCCGAGCACCCCTCTGAACCCAAGCTGATCTATTCCTGGCTAAGTCCTGCCTGCATGGACGATGATCAGCAACCAATTAGGATTTCAACATCGCCGCTACCATTGTCAAGTGCTGATATTATATGCATCAGCTGTGCGACAGTGAGTATTCGCATTATGAAGCGACTAGCCATGCTGGATTTTTATCCCGATAAATTATTACCTGCCATTGACGGCACAGGGCATGGTGCTGCTATAATCATAACGATACAGTTGTCGAACTTGTTGTTAATGTTTAATTTTTTGTTGACTAACTGTCATTGTTAATCATTTAGAATGCTGAACAGTCTAAAGATTTTATTATTTTATTGCATACAAAAGACAAAGTGACAGTGGTCTCTCATGAAAACCTCCTGAAACACAACCCAGCATGATGCCATATTGAAGAAGCCACCGATCACCACTGAACAACAGCGTGTGTCTTTCCATTAAGGCATCTCCGACTACCTTTGCAAGAGAGGCACGGATCTCTGAATATCCATGTTTTATGCATGCTCTCAGAAATAGAATTAACTCAATTACATGCGAAATCAAATAAATTTGCTGGATATTATTGGGTCGCCATTAGTGGCCGGACTAAGACCATCGCTACATCGTGTGTTACCACTGGAGCCCATGCCATACTCTTGATGTTGGGATTGCTCGCTCATTGCTATGCCATGGCCATTTGCCCCATAAGCAACTTCTAGAAATGTTGGATTTTAATTCAATATATTATGCTGTAATTCACACTTATAAAAATCTATTAAGATACAATGCCACATTTCAAGGCAGGCCTGAGAAACGGTAACCAGATACATATCCTAAATTTATGTTTTAATTGTTAATGGGTTATTATTTTTAAATGGTATAATGAATACATTTGACATACTCAGATGTCGATGTATGGTACTTTGATTGTCTTATCTTGTATAGATTTATAAAGCACCTTATACCAAGGCGTTTTAGAGCTATTATAAAATTGTGCATAAGATGATAGTGGTTGAGATAAAGAGTTGAGTTATTAAAATTAGTGGCGTAGTTATGGTGACAGGAGAACAGGCGGGAGAGGTTAAGGAGAGGTAGGGGTAGTGACAGGGGTAAGGGTAGTGATTGAGGTAGGGGCAGTGGTAGGGGTAGTGATAGGGGTTGTGATAGGGGTAGTGATAGGGGCTTGTGATAGGGTAGTGGTAGTGATAGGGGTTGGGTGGTAATAGGGGTAGTAATAGTGGTAGTGATAGGAGTTGGGGTAGTGATTGGGGTTGTTGTAGGGGTAGTGATAGAGATTATGTTAGGGGTTGGGTTAGTGATAGGGGTTGGGGTGGTAATAGGGGCAGTGATAGTGGTAGTGATAGTGGTAGTGATAGGAGTTGGGGTAGTGATTGGGGTTGTTGTAGGGGTAGTGATAGGGATGATGCTAGGGGTTGGGTTAGTGATAGGGGTTGTGATAGGCCTGGTCATCGCTGAAGGGCGGGGGCAGGGAGTCGCAGTATCAGAATGGGCGAGGGGAGAAGAGATGGGGGTTGTTTTAAGGGAGCAAGGGAAGCAAGTCTGGGAAAAGGAAGCAGAGCGAGACTGGGCACAGGGCGAGCGAGGCACACAGAGGGACAGCCGAGACTGGGAGTGTGGAGGACGGGGACGGGACGAAGCGAGAGATGAGAGAAACAAGAGAAGATGGGGCAAGACCATGGAGGGATTTATAGACTGAGAAGTGAGAAATAGCGATAGTCGACAGGGAGCCAGTTGCGGTTAGGAAAGTAGAGCATACGTGTGGGAATTGTGGGGGGAGCTAAAACATTGGTCTTGGCTGAGGCACGGACCATTTAGACATGCGTGTAATCAATGCTGCTCTGAAGACAACTCTCCTGTCATCCCTTCTATGTTAACACATTTGCTAATACTTGGTGCTAAGTTAGCAGTGGTTGTACGATGGAAACCGCAATGTGAAATGCCCACCAACCACCGCCTAAGGGACTTCCTCTAACGAAGATCAACACCGCCCCAGGTTAATATGAGTGACTTTAACTTTAATTTGACACAGTATACCATAACACCTAGCCGCAAGAACATTTTAAATGTCGTTTGCAGACTATGCTCTGGAAAACAATAACATGATTGACGTAATGCTTGTACAGGCTGATTAATGTTTACTATATGGCAGTGCTATGCTCAACAATTCCTGCACCATGACGAGGCAGTTATACAAATAAAACCATGAACCTAGTGTAAACTTAATCAGCGGCTAACACATAGTCACGTTGACAACTAGTGGTCTGCTAAAACGACATCGTGCTTTTTCAAGCTCACGATGTTCTGCTAACATGTGGGTGGCTTTCGCTGTAATTGGCCAGGAATATTCACGTCTCACTCGATCGCATTGCAGCCACTTTCCTGCTAACTGCTGATATTGTACGAGCAGCTTTTGCATCAGAATCAACATTTAGTTACTCAATAAACTTTACTTACATTGCAAGCGAATATATTTTTCCAGGACGTTGAAATTGCCTTAAAATAAGCACGATGTAAAACTATCAATCTAATTGTTTCCTGTCTCAATGAGGCACGGGGTGATTGTATTATCTCTCTTGGTGGCCCTGAGTTCGTGGAGGAAATTCAATGGTACAATGGTGGGGGGCATTTTATTAATAGGACAAGCAGTGTTAACTTCTTGGAAAGTGGTCCCAAAATTATTGATACAATAGAGATGATAGGATGAGTTAACCTTTGCCCAGGATTTAACTGGATCCTTCAAATTTTAAGGCAAATGTTCTAACCACGGCACCACCTGGTCGGATCCATGTCAAATAAAAAATATATATTGTGAGTGAGAGGCTGGTGATTATGGATTATAAATAACGTTTTAAAGAATATGTCATACTGGACATCTGAAAACAATTTGATTTCTCAAACGGGGTGGCCATTTTTCTCCATACAATTTCTGAATGACAGACTAATCACGGTTAAAATTTGGAAAGAAAAACACCGGACTTTGGTTAATTTTAATTCAAATAGAGTTTTTCGCACTTCTTGTCTGCAATTAATGGTCACAGGGAATCCTGTGGATGTGGTCCGTGCTTTTTGTAGGATTCAATTTGCGATGGGGCTGACAAACGCAACCGTGTGTAAAGCGTGCCAAACACTGAATTAGTGACAAGAGGCAGAATTGCTCGTTGCGGTATTTTTTCACAGTGTAACCGTGGACCACATCAACAACAATTGTGAAATTTACTTGTGAAAAAAAAGTGTATTTTTGCCCCGGTGACGGAATATACTAATGAAGCAATAATAGCAGATACGGAAGAAAAAAAACTCTTGTATCAATCAAATATATTTTCATTGCCAAAAAAAATAAACTAGTCACCATTTTTTAAATTATGAAATCGCCTCTAAGAGTTACAGGCTGTTTATGTATGACATCACAGATGTGTCACCACGCACAAAAATACGGCGAGGGGAAAGTGATGAGCCGTCAGGTTTATGGCGTAAAATAATTTCATGTAGAAACAACAAGTGGTGAGTAGTCTGTGTCTGTAAACAATATCAGCATAAAGTCGTGATGTCTAGTTTATATCTCATCACTGTGTGAACAGTGGCTCCGTGGTTACACTTAATTAGAGATTCAGCGACCTGCATTCATTTTACCCACAGCTAGAACCAGTGGTGAGTTACATCTTAACCAGTACCTGTTGCAGTATTTAAACATCAGCAGACAGAGGTGACTGGGAATGGTGGTGGCTATACCAACCAATGGCTTGCCATGCTGGTGTTAAAATATGGTCGCTAGCAACACCTGCCCCAACTGGTCATAAGACTATGTGGGGGACATTTATCTGTGTTTGTCAAATCTCTGTCTATGTGTTACTTCACTGGAGTGACTGCACATTGAATCACCATACTACGTTCCTGTTGACCTGGGGTTTAATCTCGTGCAGGCCCCACGGTGACAAGTGGTATCTCCGCACCTACGATTAGCGCGGTTGGCTGCGTACAGTGCGAAAGAAGTTCAACATACATACATAAAGTTCAGCCTTATGCTGCCATGCCCAGCACTGTGACTTCGTGGATCTCTATAATATGTCACCTAGGCCAATGGTGTCATAGCTCGAGAAACATACGTACATATCTGAATTTGTTAAGCATGAATGAGCATCTGGTGTGGTGTGTTGACACCAGCTCACCAACAGCAAATGTCCCTATGGATCGCTAAAGGCGCATGGGGGATCATTGCACGTGGACTACAAACTCATTCGCGCTGTTTGCTAAAAGTTGCATTCCCTTAACAGAATGTGTTGTACGTGCTTTCTTGGTGTTTTACGATAGGTATGGCAAATGCATTTAAATTGGAGGGCTTGTCCATGCCGTTTCGTTCAGAGGCGAGTCAGCCCACTTTCTGTTGCAAGCTTCCACTCGAAGATTTATCCGTATCGGCCGCATCTGGCATGGAGAATTAGTAAAAACCCCATAGCAGATTGCGGAGCTGTGCACTTCAGTAGGTGGACGTGGTTACGCTCCGTGTGCACTTTGCTTGCATAAAACTTAGTGTGATATTCCCTGCGGAAAAGGCCAAGAGATAAAGGTGCAGCCCTGAAACGTCTTCACTACACAGCTACTCGTAGAAAAAGGGACTCCACTAGCGAGCTATCGTCATGGCGACCCCCTCCAGATGATATATTTGGCACTGGTCATACATCTTGTAACATTCAGAAGCGCCTACACTTTACACCACCACATGTGACCTGCAGAGCAACTGACTCTGGTGTGATCCATTAACATTGTTGGGTGTATAGAGGGAGGAGATCATATCAGAACGTGAACATTGCTTGCCCTGCCGTGCCTGGAGATCGAACCGGCAACCTCTGCAATTACAGAGTGCCAACCATGACACCACGGCAGCGCCATCCTCTGTAGAGGTGTGCTTATGTGTGGGCATGTTGCATTGCAGTCACAATCCGCGTGCGTGTCAATGACATCTTCTCGTAGGTGTGCGTCGTTGTGTGCACACAGCCTGTGCTTCATGTAGACCTCGCTAGTTGGAACACGAGTGAAATGTAAAGGTGGACAGGGGGGGGGGGTGGCACGAGATTGACAAAATGTATCATTAAACGAAATCTACTGATTGTCAGGCTCGTGAAATGCTGTGAGACCACGAGATGCAGATCCAATGGACGAGTCTCACGGACAAGGAGTCGAGCTTGATAGTCGCCTCCACGTGCTCACGTGTCTGGAGTTGCGCGTTTGACCCTGCAGTCTACTTGTCCAAGTGAGTGCATGCGCACGCATCGGTACGCGCGCGTGAATGTCTGCGGTGTTACATCCGTGCGTTGCCTGTGAATGAGGTGCAGGGGTGGCAGGCCGATGCGCTGTGGCCACCCGAGTGCAACTCCCGGCCACGAGGTCGGAGTGCTTCACCAAGCCACGCTGGCCGGCGTGGCGAAGAATGGTCAAACATTCTCCCATAACTAGAAAGGTGTGGGGAACCACTCATCCTTTTGGCTGGAAGTTCATAATTGTATTTTACGTGAGCCTGTTGTAGCAGGATTGGCGCGCACGCATTTGGTGTTTGCACAGGCGCACGCACACGCGTGTTCCTCTTGTCACCCGTGCCCGTGTGCGAGTGTACGTTGAACTTCTTTCGCGCCGTACGCAGCCAACCGCGCTAATCGGAGGTGCGGCGAGGGAGGGTGAAGGACATTAAACTAGACGCAAAAAGCAGTTCCCAAGAAACGAATGTTCATTTCTTAACAACATTGCATGGTGCAGGGGCACACGCAGTGCACGTGGCGCCGGCAGCATCGCGCTCCGGGTTGCTGGTGCTGTGCGTGCGAACCCGTGAGAGCAGTTGGGGTGGCAGGCCCTGCAGCTGTTGTTCTCGTCGGGGTACTTCGAGAGGAGCTCCTCGTTGCCGCCCAGCACGCCCGTGGGACACGCGCTCACACATTGCTGCCCGTCCGCGTAGTGCGCGCACCTCACGCAGCTGTTGGAGCCCTGCACACAGCCCACACACAGCAGCAGCAGCAGCAGCACAGGCTATGGCTGTTCATTTCACTTTAATGGGAGATAAAACAGCCGCGGGGAAAAGGGGAGAGTGAAATGTTGACTCCAAGCTTTCGTGACTGCAGGAATTGATATTCTTTGGGTCTTTCGGTAAAGTCACGTAGATAGGTTCAAAGAAATTAACAAAAAAACAACGACGTTTCGATCGCAACGCAAGCGGTCGTCATCAGGAAAAATAAATAAGGGGAGAGTGGTTCAGAGGCCGAGGCAATTATTGATGTATTTGCAGTTCTGTTGCACCAAATGGGTACTTTGTGCTCGAAAGCTTCCCCCATTATGTGCTGTAATTAAACATAAATATGTACGGTAATAGCGTCTGCGTTTATATAAACTGGTTACTTTCATTGCAATTATTTGCACATTGCACACTGCTTAGTGCTGACATTGGTTGTCAGAAATGTGACTACTGAACATTGATGTCATGTGATGTTGTTTGGAAGGCAGGGTACTATATTACAAGAAGACAACGATACAACATAGATTCATTAAGAGGAGCATACACAGCATGTAAATAATATGACTTACAATGGTAGGAGAAATAGATTAGCATATGAATAGCAGGCAATAGAGAGATTGCGTCGCAGAAAAGATTGAGTGTAGCATCACCGGTTCATGGGAGGGTCCTTCCTGCAGTTTGGATAGACCGTGACTCGTAATGATACAGATGGCAGATTCAGTCCATTGATAGATGCCTATAAAACTAAGATACAATAACATTTATGACTATGCTTACTACATCCGCTTTTCCAGTGGGAATGTGTTCAGTATACATTTCATATATCTACTGGATATCACCGTTTAAATGTGCGATGCTGTATAATGTATATGGAGTAACTTATTGTAGCCGTAAGAACAATCACGTGACGTAGCTTTGATAGGTGTATTTTGGTATTCAACAATAGTTTATTAAACATATGCAGGTTCATTTCATCGTGTCAACTTTTCAGAAAGTCAAAATAAATGTGGAGTGGCAAAAACGAGTCCAAGAGGATGTCGACGAAGGAGATGGAGCGATTAGCTCATGGTCTAGAGGTCAGTGGATTTTTTCACGATTGCCATAGATGGTGACAGCTTTGAGAGGCCATCATACAGCAGTGGATCGATCCTAGATGATTATGAATATTATAAATATACAGTAATATATTGACGAATATCTACAGTGCATTCCAGCGTGCATATTTATAGTGAATGCTAAGTAAAAGATATGCCAGACATTTAACAGAATAAAAAAAGACCCATTCTTGCTGTAATTTACCAGCACGCAACCTTGAAGAAGGCACATTTATATAACTTTACATTCATGCACTGGTAAATTGAAATGTGATTTACGGAGACTCGGTAAATTGGAAGTCACGTTGTGAAGTTTAATATCGGGCAATCGACACAAAAACAAAGATGCCCTCATTACTTTGGAAGACGAGAACCCATCAGAACTGAATCTCTCAAAAGTGCTCATGATATGATTCTTCAAAGTTTTGTATACAAGCACAAGGGCATCCCTTTCCAATCGGATGTCCCACCTCGGGATGACATGGTGCTCAGTGCATCGTTGCAATGCAGGGTATTGAGTTGTGGTGGCAGTTTGGGAAGCACTTCATCCGGAAGTGGGATTTGATGATAGTTACAATGTGGGCCCTGTGCTTCACAATGTGACCTCAGTGGACGATACAGAAACAATGAGATGCTGCACTCGTATAGCTTCGTAATTTTCCACTGAACATTTAAGTCAAATTTCAGACGTGCAGCATGACCACGTTAACCATCTTGAACTCCTCATTCTGTATACAGCAACAGGATCACCTCAATAACCTTGTTACGGGTTTTTGTAAACATAAAGCTTGCTCATCATACAACACAAAATATATGCTAGATCGTAGGACTGTATTAGCAGCCACTAATGACCGCTTGGGGTCAGCTCAACCCATAAGATGGAGTCGGTATGAATGAAGGCCCAAACTTAGTTAGGGGTGCTCTCCATTCCTGGCATAGCTACGGCTCTCCAAATCCTGCGCATTGCTCATTCAATACAGATACATTGGTCAACAGTCTGGTACCTTTGTGTTTGACTCTTATTAGACATTAAAGGCTGCAAAGCTGATCATCTTACAAAGCGGATTCATGCAGTCTCATTTACATTTCAAAGCCCATCAGTATTCTCATTACAAGCTTCACATCATATTCATTCACAGCTCTTAATTACAGAAACTGAGCCATGTTCTGTCCACCGTCTGCTTTATGATGCTTCCTGTTTCCTGTAGATAATTTAGTTTAACAGCAATTACACTGTGATTATTTCGTTTCATTGAGAGACAGCAGAAGCTTACTATATGCCTAACATGTTAAATGTTGCACATATAACGCCCTGATAATTAGCTTTTTAAAATACAATTTTAATCCATGTATAACATTTCGCACCAGGACATTTTGTTTAACATCATGCTATTGCTATATTTATTCAATATGGTTAAGACCATCTTTGTATTTCAAATAGAAATTACATTTAATTTTATGCATCTTTTGCATGACAATTTACACGAGATAACGTGTCAACGTTTCCGATTGTCAGGTTGTCAATTAGCACAATATGTATTTGAGTCAATTATGCTGATCTGTTTGTCCGTTGGAAATCAGGTTAACCTCATTCTTAAATCTCACAATTTGATGAAAGAGCTCACGCGCGGATGCTCGGTGGATTGCTGCAGGGCAGGGCCGTGCGAGATGGCAGAGGCTAGCAGGGGCCCTCATGCGGGAGTGCATTGATTATGGCTGATGAAGGTGATCATAATGGTGCTTCTTTGTTATACAGATGCACCGCTGCTTTTTACACATTTGTTTTCTTGCACCGTTATTAATGTCGCTGTCATTTTTGTATATGAGAAATTAAGTTTCATAATATATATTCATATACTATATTTTTTTGCAAATTGGACCTGCATGGTACAGAGGCAATTTCGCTTGACTCACAATACAGAAGAGAGGCAGAGCATTTCAGACCTACAGTTTAAAGGGCAGCTGGGAAGTTACCATTAACAATTCGTATCTCTTCAGATTATCAAAACAATTAAAATACCATATAGCTCAGGAGTAACTGACCAATTAGCCTGTGTTTTGCAAAAGCAAAACATTAAAGTAAGATTTGGTACGGTACACAAATAAAAAAACTAGTGTCTTGTACTAAAGATTAATTACCGAAGTGATCAACAGAAGGTGTATATCGGATCGATTGCTATGCGGTAAAGGCTATATTGGACAGCCGGGACGTAACATTAGCGTAAGACTAAAAGAACACTAAAGGAACATTAAATAATCTCAAACACAGCTGTCAGCAGTGGCAGCGCATGCTTGCCAACAAGGACATTCAATTGATTTTGATAACATTGAAGTGTTATGCAAAACTAATTATGACTGGCCAAGACTAATTAGAGAATCCATCGAAATTGAGAAAAAGAAAAATAATTTCAACTGCTCTGATAGCTACAGACTTAGCGCAGCCTGGAATCGTATTATTAAGTAACTAGGGGTTGTTCGGGGGCACCTGTGGCCTTCAGCCAGGAAAGTTATGAAAAAAAATTCACACGAACGACGCATTCACGCAAGCACCCGATGCTCCGTTTTTAAGTTTTAAAATGAAACATCTTTGAATTGATTGTGTTTTGAATTATATAATTGTATTTCTTCATTAAAAGCTTATATCATTTTACATCTGGAAGACTTCATTGAAAAGGACATTTCGTGTGAATTTTCTCTCGTCGTTAAGTCGATGGCCTTGCTGGGGGTTCGGTTCGATGCGGACTTTCACCTGTTTGGGATTGCGGGATCGAGATAGGGCGACACAGAGCTGCTGGCCGTGCGAGAAGACTGCCGTCTGCAGATCGATTCTAACGTGATCGAACGTCTGTCCCTGCGCCTCCATCGTTCATGCAGGGGGCGCGTATGTTTGCAGCGCCCCCTGCATGAAAATGATGGAAAGTGCAGTGTTCATCACAGATAAAGTTGTGCGCTTATATATTATTAAGTAATACACAATACATATTGCAATTCCTTATAGAGGAGTCACATGCTAAGTGGCTGATTACTGATCTATTACATAATTGCAATACCCCCCCAACTCCGCCTCTGATCACGAACAGTGATGATGTCATCCTGCACTATTTAAGACCGAAAGCAGGTGGATGGCTTCACTATTCTGGCAAATCGCCCGAAGATGCTGGATGTAATTACCAGCGAAACGTCACGCTACTCAAATTGTAAATGTTGTGGGTTCACTCTTCAAACACACCGGTGGGCTGAAGAAGTAACTAATTGGCGTTTTGTTAACGTGACACATTTTTTACTGATTGGCCGTGTCAGGTGGCGGAGGGTTGCGACACATTTATAAATAACGCGATCTCACCCAGAAACCTTTATTATGAAGAATACTGGTCACGAAAGCGTACGTGTTAAACTACTCTTATCTCTGTTAACCCACAGCTACACTGGGATGAAGCGTCGTCGCCAATCCAACTCTATGCCTAAGGAGGAGGGAGGTTTTGCCAGACACGGCGTGATCACTCGTAGCAGAACATCACTGTGAGTTGACCTTCCCTCTCACTTTGAAATAGGCGAATGCACTTCAACAACCTCTCGATTTCAACATAATAGCAGAACAATAAGGGGACATGTACAACATTCATCCTCCATTGGTACCCCGCAACTCGTAATTTATCAAAACGCCACAAAGCACGAGATTTAAAGTGATGCAAGCTCTCCGCATCTCTAATGCCAATTTGCCCACTTGGCTTTTGGCACACGTTCTGTATGTAGACTTGAGTTAGCACCACCGGAAGGTTACGGCGACTTTGACAGACACATTCCTTTATGGCAACCTTCTCCGGAGCAGTCATGTTACGCCTACGGAGTAATAATAACGCAAAAAGAAAGTGCCTACTTCA